CTATCAACATCGTGTATAGGGGTTTGTGTGAAGGTGAGTGTTCATTTCTCTAGAGTTAACACCAGGACTGGCATTGTGGGGTCCTGTAGTAAGTGTATGCTAAGTTACAAGAGACTGCCAAGCTGCTTCCCAGAGAGGCCGCAGCTTTTTCCATTTCCCCGGCAACTATGGGAGCTCTCAAACCCTCCCGGGCACTTGGTATTGGCTTTACTAAGTGGCTCGTGAATCCGACAGCATCCCGTCCAGCACGGGAAGGGGCCCCCAGCATCTTCGAGTTGAGCCGTTCTAACGCGTGTGCAGTGGCATCTCACTGGGGTTTGAATTTGCATCGTCTTAGTGAACGCTGATGTTGAGCATCTTTTCACGTGCTAATTTGCCATTGATACATTTTCTTTGGTAAAATGTCTGCTCAATTTTGTTTTGTACAGGGTTCCTTTTTTCTCTCATTATTGAGTTTTGAGAGTCCCTTATATGTTCTAGATACAAAGTCTTTATCAGATATGTGTTTTGTAAACATTTTCTCCTAGTCTGTGGCTTGTCTTTTTATTCTCCTAACGCTGTCTTTCACGGAGAATTAAAAGGACGTCCCGTTTGTCAATATTTTCTTTCACAGGTAATGCTTTTGGTGTCATCTCTAGATCAGAAAGATTTTCTCGCGTGTTTTCTTCTAGAAATTTTTAAAAGTCTTGAGTTATACATATAGGCCCACTAGAGGCCCTGTGCATGAAATTCGTGCACAGGTAGGGTCCCTAGGGCTGGACAGCAATCAGGGCCGATCCGGTCCTTCCAGCTGCTGGCCAGGGCCTTCCTTCGTTCCACGCCTTCCCCGGTGGTCAGTGCATGTCATAGTGAGCAATCCAACTTCCGGTCTTTCAGTTGAACTCCCGAGGGGACACTTTGCCTATCAGGCTTTTATACATATAGATGATGCATTTTGAGGGGTGGGTTTTTGGGTATACAGTCTGAGATATTGAAGTTCGTTTTCTCTGCATATTGTTCTAGTTGTGTGTTTGGATATTTGTGGGGCAGTATAATGGAGCCCCATGCTCCATTATCGGGCAGAGGGCCATCGGACTGGCCCTGTCGCAGGGACAAGCTTTCCTGCACCTTGCTGTGACTGTTTAACACCCTGAGCTTTACTTGTAACCACAGAGAGTCTGGATATTGCTCCAGGCAGGTGTGTCAACACCACCTTATTCTCAGGATGCCCTGGGTGGGCCCCTGGTGGACTCCTTGCTGGCGAGAGAAGCCTAGGACGGTGCTGAGATGCCTTTCTGCAGGGCAGGAGGGGAGCAGCCGGCGTGTCTTCAGGGCCCAGAAGTGAGAGGGCAGGGTTTGTTCTAGGCCCCAGAGGAACAGGAGAACCCCGAGGCCTCACGGTGCGGGCCCTGCGCTCCTCCTCTCTGCAGTGAGAGAGCCACTGGGCTCTGCCTGGTCGCGTTCACTGCCACCTCCTCTGGGATTTATACCCAAGGAAATAACCACACACGTGGGCCAGGCTCTGCGCCACAGCTGGGATTGGGATGGCAGAAACCTAGCCACAGACCAAGTGCCCAAGGACCGATGGAATGAATTCTGGACCCATTTTCCTAGTGGAATGTTGCAGCTACTAACGGGTGACGCAGAGGTGCATGGTGTGTTGGGAGAGGGCCTGGGAGACCCCGGGGGTTATAGGGCAGCACACACCCGCAGTGGCGGCGTTTTTGTGTTAGCTGCTTATGTAAGCATGTGTGAATTTCGTTGTTTACCTTGAACTTTCAGAGCCTGTTCCTCTGTAACCAGACCTTAATCCCTGCACTGTAGCGTCAGGGTTTTTATTATTCAGATCCTGCCCTCTTTCCCACTGGACCTTTTTCTCAGGTTCACAGCCATGGACCTGGGGGAGGAATGGCCATGGCCGAAGGGCTGCGGAGAAGGAGGGGCGGGACCAACAGGAGAAGCAGTGGGTCAGGCATCTGCCTGGAAGGGGGATGGTGTCTGATGTGGTGACCCCCACACACAGGCTGCCTGCCGCTGTCCACGTGTGGGGCAGAGGGGGGGCATCTGTGGCTCCGTTCGCTGGCTCCCACTATCACCAAGGATGCTTGTCTACAGATGGCTCCTTGGGAATCAGTGGGTGTAAAATTTAGTATTAGTCAGTTTCATTAAAATGAAATTTTAGGCCCAGCTGGTATGCCTCAGTGGCTGAGCGTTGACCCGTGAACCAAGAGGTCACCAGTTCGATTCCTGGTCAGGGCACATGCCCAGGTTGCAGGCTCGATCTCCAGTGTGGGGCGTGCAGGAGGCAGCCGATGGATGTTTCTACCTATCCTTCTCCCTTCCTCTCTCTCTAGAATCAATAAAACATTTTTTAAAGATGAAATTTTAGGCTGAAGGCCACGGTATAAAACACACATATAGAGGTGCTCTCTAAAAGGAGGTGGTAGCCTAGGCTCTGTCTATTGGGGACCCCCAGGCCTCCCCACACAGACACCACAAGCCCCTGCCTTATCTCTGAAGATGTGAGGCTGGAGGACTAGCTTGTGAGCTGGACCAAGAAGAGGCAGCTGACCTTCCTCTGTCCAGGTGATCCCTCCAGGGCAGGGAGCAGGGCGGCTAATCTCCTATCCACCCCACACCCAGCTCCAGGTCTGGCCTGGAGAAAGTGAAACAATTGTTCCGCACATCCTTCCTGGCGGGCACATCGGGGCTGCAAAACGCCGAAAGCCATATGTGAAGGTGGGCAGCTGGGTGGGAGGACTCGGGGATGATGTGCAAAATATTTAGCAACTCTGTGTGGCCGGCCCTGACTAACCATTAGTCACCACAGTGGAGGATGGAATGGGGATTTTATTGTTTGTAAGTGACTGTATTTATAGCCACCGTACCATAGATACGGTGAGTGAGCCAATGGCCATTCCTTAATGCAACACAAGAACGTTCATCATGCGTAGTTTGCAGGCCCCTTAAGAGGTGTTCTCCTTAAGAGTCTGGATGTTGGAGATTCAGCAGTCAAACAGATCTTGGCAAGTCTCTTTTTACACAAACACATGATTAGGCGATTTAGCCGCTTGGTGCTACAACGTATTTGTACTCTCACTGGAAGTGGAGCCAGCACTACATGAAAATTGGGAACCTATCAAATTCGTGAGTAATACCTATTACACCTCGTAGCAGTAAGAACTATTGTCCCTGTGCTGGTGGCAAGAATGGCACCAGGTGTGAGGCCCTCGGGGTCAGACCGGACCTGGGCTCAGCAACCTCAGTACTTGAGTTCTGGCTAGGAAAGAATTCAGAGGCAAGACTCAAACTCTAAGAGAAAGTTTATGTAGAAGGTCACAGAGGTAGAAGAAGTGAAAGGTAGAAGACATGGGCTCAGGAAACAAATTACAGAAGCAAAAGGGTCCTTGAGCTTAGGAGAGAGGAAGGCAAAGGCGGGGAGGTGGGGAGGCAGGGAGGTGAGGAGTGGGAGAGCGCTCGGTCCTCCATCCTAAGCGCCTTTAAGGGTGGAGATTTTAGGGGAGGTCCCAGAGGTGGACCTCAATAGAATACTCATCAGCTTTCCAAGTGTGTCCTTGGGTCTCCGGGTCTCCGCTGACTGGTCAGCTCAGGGGGAGGGAGTCCTTCATCATTGCAGCTGGGCCTCCGGGCCTGGAGCTGAAATACAACCGAGGCCTAGATGTTATCTCTGGGGAGGAAAGGTCAGGAGGTCGAAACCGTGCCAGCCAGCGATATGCTAGGGAAGGAAAGTTCACCCTGTGGGCGAGATTCCTGTGTTCCCAGTTTCACCCATTGCTAGGCACCCGGGGCGTTCCACCCTGTGGCCTCTGCACCTGGCCCATCGTCCTTGTTCTGCTCAGGTCTGACTGCCTCCCACATCATACTTGGATTTCAAACATTTTATCTTCTTTCAGATGAGAACACACACACACACAAAAACAAACCTAAAAAAAAACACACAAAATAACCCAACCCCCGTAAAAAACATACACTTTTCTTAAAGACCACTTGCATTCCTCATTTGAAATATAATCAAACTGATGAAACTACATTTTCACCTTAAAGACGAGTGAGTAAAATAATTCCAATCAGTGTTACTATGAGCTACAACGTCAGCCCAGCTACTTTAATGACGACGAGTTCAGATCTCCCAGGGCGCCAGAGCGCTACACTGAGCTCTCACCACCAAGGCGAGAGAAAAAACCCACTAGCAAACACATGAGTTGGAGCCTTTGTTGTGATTTTTAAAGAATCTTTAGATAAACCATATGGATTAGAGAGGCAGGTAGGAAAACCAATGTTTGTGTCGCACCCTCCCTGCTGTGAACTGTCTCACAGACCCAGAGTTCCAACATTCTTGGTAAAATAATGTGGAAGGATCCGTATATGCCACAAAGATTTTCACGGGCATGGCTGGGTGTCATCATCCAAGGATAGATGGCTGAAGAGAGATGGATGGATGGATGGATGGATGATGGATGATGGATGATGGATAGATGAGAGGAATGACAGGTGGAAGAGTGTGAAGGCAGAAGGTGGAGGATGAGTGGAAAGACAGAAGGATGAATGGGCAAGTGGAGAGATGGGAGGGAGAATGGGAAGGAGGAAGGAGGGAGGGAGAGAGGGAGGGAGGGAGGGGGAGAGAGAGGGAGGGAAGGAAGGGAGGGAGGAAGGAAGGAGGGAGGGAGGGAGGGAGGGAGGGAGGGGGAGAGAGAGGGAGGGAAGGAAGGGAGGGAGGAAGGAAGGAGGGAGGGAGGGAGGGAGGGAGGGAGGGAGGGAGGGAGGGAGGGAGGGAAGGAGGAAGGAAGGAAGGAAGGAAGGGAGAATGGGAAGGAGGAAGGAGGGAGGGAGGGAGGGAGGGAGGGAGGGGGAGAGAGAGGGAGGGAAGGAAGGGAGGGAGGAAGGAAGGAGGGAGGGAGGGAGGAGGGAGGGAGGGAGGGAGGTTGGTTGTTGGCAGGGAGGTCGGGTGGTTGCGGAGTACAGCCCATTGGTGACCTGGCTGTTGGCCCTGCACGCCACAGGGAGCTTCCTGGTGCCCTACCTCATCATGCTCGTTGTGGAGGGGATGCCGCTCCTGTACCTGGAACTGGCGGTTGGACAGCGCATGCGCCAGGGCAGCATCGGCGCCTGGAGGACCATCAGCCCCTACCTGAGCGGTGTTGGTAGGTGATGCTCTCAAGCCTCCCCCACCGGGAGACCCCCTCCCTGTGTCCTGGGCAGCCCCGGTGGGGGTGGGAGCAAAGGGTAAGCACAAGGCCCAAGAGAGAGCCCTTGATGGGGATGGACAGACGGCCCAGGAGGGACTGACTGCCACAGAACATGGCTGAGCAGGGCTGGCTCCCCGTCCCCAGGAGTGAGGAAGGGAGGAGGCACAGGTGGGGACCTGAGACCGCATTGCTTCTCTGGACCGCAGGTTGCTAGTCTGTAAAGAGGAAACAGCCGCCCGCTGGGGCTGTGCCTCAGTGTCCTACTAACAACCACCTGGCACTGCCCCCTGCTGGCCCTGAATGGCACCTGCTCTCAGCGAGCACTGCGTGTGCCAGGTGCTGGCCTGTAGAGCATATGCGCACACATCAGCCCATTGCATCTTCTTCCCACCACTGAGAGGCTGTAGGGCTGTCATCAGCATCTCGGGTGGACGGAAGCTGGGCGCGCCTGCTGCCCGACTGCCTGTCCGCCCTGAGCCCGGGTCCTGGGCACCCTGGGGAGATGGTTAACCTGCCTTCACACCCTCCCGCTCCTGGGCTGCCTCTGCCAGCAGGAGGAACTTTGACCAGCGATGCCCACGCTCTGTTCTGCCAATGATCCCGCCCCAGACAGGATGCCAGAGTGACATCCCAGGGGCAAGGAGGGCGTAAACTTGTCCGTGACTCTCTCTGGCGCAGGAGACATGTGCCCAGTGCCCTCACGAGTCATCTTCAAACCCGAACTGCCTCCCACCGTGCGTGGCTGTTAATGTTTAGCACGGAGGTGTGTGGTTTGACAGTCCGCCCAGGCGAGCAATCCCAGAGGGCTTCTCCGAGGCGTCATCTGCTGCTTCTAGAAAAGAGGCCAGATGTTTGTGCCCAACGGGGGCTGGTGAATGTTTAACCACCGGCTCTCAGGTGGGGTGCGGGAAGGCTGCTGCGTGTGGTGTGAACACAACACCACGGCCAGTTTCAAACTCCTGAGATGTCCCGGAGCCAGGGGCTGGGCTGGGCAGAGGCGCGCACGGGCGGCGCCTGCAGACACCGCTGGTTGTCAGCCATCCCCTGCTCTGCTGTCCTCTCCCACTCCCACCCCGGGACCCCTGCACCCCACACACCTCCTCACACCCCTGCTCCCTGCCACCCCAGGGCGGGGATTGGCCCAGGTGACCTGACTCAGGTGAGCCAGGAGGGGGCAACCACAATGTCTGCCTCTTCCCAGCCCGGGTCTCAGGCGAGCTCTGTGCCCGGTTTTCTCCTCTGTGAGGGGATAATGACGCCCACGGCACATACAGTTCTTAGCACAGCAGCTGGCACTCAGGGCTCCAAGAAATGCCACTCCTCCTGTCCCAGGAGCCGGGAGAGAGAAGCGGGACGAGGCTAACCCTTAGCAGTGCCCGCAGACCCTGGTCACGGGGAGCCCCACACACCTGCTGCGGACGTTCTGCCAGCCCAGTAACTGCAGGGGTATCCTGGGCGCACGGGGGTAGAGGGGGCGTGGAGGGGGGGCCAGGGCTGCTGGCGGGCGGGGACGGCCCCTCAGCGCCCTCTGCTTCCCACAGGCGTCGCCAGCGTGGTGGTGTCCTTCTTCCTGTCCATGTACTACAATGTCATCAACGCCTGGGCCTTCTGGTACCTCTTCCACTCCTTCCAGGTGAGAGGGGCCGGGGCGTGGGGCGGGGCCAGGGCGCAGGGCAGGTGGCCACCGGGACAGGCCGGAGATTGAGGGTCAGAGTTCTTTTTTTTTCTTTTTAAATATATTTTTATTGATCTCAGAGAGGAGGGGAAAGGGGAGAGGAAGAGATAGAAACATCAATGATGAGAGAGAATCACTGATCAGCTGCCTCCTGCGCGCCCCCCTTCTGGGGATTGAGCTTGAAACCCGGGCATGTGCCCTGACCGGGAATGGAACCATGACCTCCTGGTTCATAGGTTGATGCTCAACCACTGAGCCACACCAGCTGGGCTGCGGGGCAGAGTTCTGTTGTCATAGGGAGTCTGGCCCTTGTCCGCTTGTGTATTCAGTCTCTCTGACCCACGGTAGAGTTAGGACTGTAAAGTGTGTGGAGCCCCGCGTGCACCCCCTCCCTGCCTCCCCCTACTCCCTACCTCATCTGTGCCCTCGACAAACCCTCTGACTCCCTGGCTGCCTTCAGGGCTCCCACCACCTGCCCTTGGGGACCAGCTTTCTTCTCCTCCAAAAGCCTGGTGTGAGGGCCACCTCCCATCCTCCCCCCTGACCTTCGGCCTCAGCCCTCACCTCTCTGTGTGATGCTGTGTTGACCCCAGGACCCCCTGCCGTGGTCCGTCTGCCCACTGAACGCCAACCACACAGGCTACGACGCGGAGTGTGAGCAGGCCTCCTCCACCAAGTACTTCTGGTACCGGAAGACCCTCAACATCTCGCCATCCATCCAGGACAGCGGCAGCCTGCAGTGGGAGCCCGCGCTCTGCCTCCTCCTGGCCTGGCTCGTAGTCTACCTGTGCATCCTGCGGGGCACCGAGTCCACCGGCAAGGTGGGGGCAAGGTGGCGGGGCTGGGGTGGGGGGGACGGCAGACTGCCTCCTGCCAGCGAGGGGCAGAGCTGGCTGGGGGAGGCGGGCGGGCGGTGCGCTGGCACAAGCCACTTGCCAGGTAAATATAAAGGTGGTCAGAGGTCAGCCCTCAATCTCAAAACCAGGCCTTTCCCGCCCCGAAAAAGACAGGCATTTCTGGGCCAGCCACACTGCCCAGTAGCACCAAGCAACCAGACAGGGAGTTTTCCCTCCTTTAAAACCTTAGATGGTTGAAGATTTCCCAGAGACACCTGCCCTGCTCTCAGGCCTCCCATGGGCACCGCCTGAGAGCTTTGGCCCCTCCGCTGTCTCAGTCCACCCCGAAGGTTCTGGTGATCAGCGAGGGGCAGCCTGAGTGCTGGGGTGTTAAAATGCACACACGTTCCTGTGGTGGATGTGCTTGAGGGCGGCCCCGATCCTTCCCAGAACGAGGCCAGGTTGAAGGGAGGTGGAGGGCCGGCCTCTGCTCTGCGTTCCTCTTCTCTGTGGAACCAGGGATTTCCTGGCACTTACGGGCCTGGCGACCACGCCCCACCACCCGTCTCCCAGCCCAGACGCAGGACCTGACGAGACCCCATGCCTTCCCTGCTGTCCGCAGCCTGAGCCCAGACAGCATGGTGTTTCCTGGGACGGAGGGTCTGCTGTAGGCAAAGGGCCTGCTGAGGGTCTGGCCACATCTCCCGGAGCCTGACTCTGCCCTCTGGTGCCCGCAGGTGGTGTATTTCACCGCGTCGATGCCCTACTGTGTGCTCATCATCTACCTGATCAGGGGCCTCACGCTCCACGGGGCCACCAACGGGCTGCTGTACATGTTCACCCCCAAGGTACGAGCCGGAGGGACAGCCTGAGGTGCCCCATCTTCCTGCCCCTTCCAGAGGGCGGAGAGGGCAAGAGGGAGGGTGGAGAAAGCTGTCCTGAACCCAGGAGGCTGGTGGGAGCCCCCAGGCCTTGGGTGGGGATGGATGACCTGCGGGTGCTGAGTCACCCTCAGCCAAGCAGTCCCCAAGCCCTGTGACTTCTGGGCATTGCGTCTTCTGTCCACTCCCATCCTCGTCCTCACTGCCTCCCACCTACGGCTGCCCCATGTCTGGCCTCCTGGCCCCAGTCTCACCCCAGCCCCGCCTTCCAGCCTGTGGACTAAGTTATCTGCCCTGAGCATCATCTCGGTTTCCCTTCGGGGCAAATCCACTCTCGGCAGGGGTTTCGGGGTCCCTCCCCAGGCTCCCCACAGCCAGTCTTTGTCACGGTTGCCTTGGGGACAGGACAGGTTCTTCATTTAGCAAAGAATGGCCCCTGGGAACAAATGGCTGTGGTGGCAGCCCCCTCCAAGAGCCCCCCTGCCGCCACATCACCGGGGTTCAACCCAGACCTCGGCCTCACCACCAGGCCCCGCCACCTCCATCTCGGGAGACCCAGGCCCGTGCAGTGCCCAGCTCAGGCATCGGGGGCCTGGTTCCTTTTGAAGTGATTTCACCCCACACTTCCCACTGCACACCTCCCCCGGGGAAGGAGCTGTGGGGACACGCAGGAGGGATGTTTCATCTGCTAAGGATGTGCCAGGCAGGGTCCTCCAGGGCCGCCCTCCCTCCCCTGCCCGAGAGGTTGGGGTCCCCCCACCCCCCTGGGCTCACAACCCTGTCCCTGCTGGCTTCCAGCTGGAGCAGCTGGCCAACCCCAAGGCCTGGATCAACGCAGCCACCCAGATCTTCTTCTCGCTCGGCCTGGGGTTCGGCAGCCTGATCGCCTTCGCCAGCTACAACGAGCCCTCCAACAACTGCCAGAAGCACGCCATCATCGTGTCCCTCATCAACAGCTCCACCTCCATATTCGCCAGCGTCGTCACCTTCTCCATCTACGGCTTCAAGGCCACCTTCAACTACGAGAGCTGCTTGAACAAGTAAGCCGGGCTGTCGGGGAGCAGGGTCGCAAGGGGCAGGCGAGTCTCCAAAACTCAAGCGGAAGGGGCACTGGGGAGAGGCGGATGCCAGGCACCCAGGGGTGTGGGGCACAGGGCACCCGCCTTGCAGTCCTCGATCCAGTGTCGAATGCAGGCTCTGCCCACGGGCAGCAGCAGCTGGAGGCCTGTGCCGACTCAGCGTGTGCCCGAAGGGAGGGGCACCATGTACTCAGAGCCCTCAGCACGCAGGGCATCCACAGCCTTCATTTCTTCGGCCCCAGAAGCAGCCGAGAGCTCCATGGCTGAGCCGTGGAGATTCCAGAAGCTGCTCTCTGTGATCTTTCCCAAATTCGAGAAACACCCGCAGGCACCCTGTCCAACAGCGTGTCACTAGCTGCGAGGGGCTCCTGACAAGGTTAAATGTCAATTTAACGCTTCCTTAAACGTAGATTTTGATTTAAATCAGCGGTTCTCAACCTGTGGGTCGTGACCCCTTTGGCGGTCGAACGACCCTTTCACAGGGGTCGCCTAAGACCATCCAGCATATCAGAGATTTACATGACGATTCATAACAGTAGCAACATTACAGTTACGAAGTAGCAACGAAAATAATGTTATGGTTGGGTCACAACATGAGGAACTGTGTTTAAAGGGCCAGAAGGTTGAGAACCACGGATTTAAATCAATTCCTCGGGGCCACATGTGGCTCCTGGGGGCCACAGTGGACGGCACGGACCTGGGACATTTCCCATCACAGACGCTCGGCCGGACAGAGCCGGACAGCGGTCACAGAGCCCGCTGTGCGCTTGGTCCCTCTTGTCACCACTGTTCCTACTCGAGGCTTCTTCAGAGCCCCTCTAAATACCTTGCCCTTTAAAAGGTCAGCAATTGCCCGGCCGGCGTGGCTTAGTGGTTGAGCGTCCACCTATGAACCAGGAGGTCAGGGTTCGATTCCCGGATTGTGGGCTCGATCCCCAGTGTGGGGCGTGCAGGAGGCAGCCGATCAATGATTTTTCTCTCATCGTTGACGTTTCTCTCTCGCTCCCTCTCCCTTCCTCTCTGAAATCAATAAAAGTATATTTTTTAAATAAATTAAAGGTTGGCAATCAGTAGATTCCTCTGGCGAGGACCTTACATAATCAGAAAAGAGGAGGCGGGCGGGGGGACAGCGTGGGCCCGAGCCCCCAGCAGGCTGGCGACAGCGGCCTTTCTGTTCGCGGGGGTCATTCTCATGCTCTGCCCGCAGGGTGATTCTGCTGCTGACCAATTCTTTCGACCTGGAAGATGGCTTTTTGACAGCCAGCAACCTGGAGCAGGTGAAGGGCTACCTGGCGTCTACCTACCCCGACCAATACAGCAAGGTGTTCCCACTGATTAAAAACTGCAGCTTGGAGTCGGAGCTGGACACGGTAAGGCGCTGGCAAGGTCTCAGGGACGGAATTCTTCTCCCTCCGCCTCTTCCGGGAGAAGGGAGGACGGGCCACCCTCCCCCCGGCTGCTGCCCGGGGACACTGGTTCCTTTGGGTGCTCCGTGCCCTTGTTTCCTCTTCCTTTTAAATGTTGAAAAGGCAGAAAGTACGAAGAATCCTATAACCGGCACCCACGTGTCCACCACCTGAAAGAACCGTTGTAAACACTTGTCATTAGGGGCTCAGACGGGGCGCTGGCCTGCAGGTGGGAGAGCCAGCTCCGAGGTCCCCCACAGCTTAGCGTCGGGGGTGTCCGGGGAGCCATGCGTCCCTCGGTGTGTGACTGGGGTCTTGTCCCCGGGGGCAGGCCGTCCAGGGCACCGGCCTGGCTTTCATCGTCTACACCGAGGCCATAAAGAACATGGAGGTGTCCCAGCTGTGGTCGGTGCTGTACTTCTTCATGCTGCTGATGCTGGGGATCGGGAGCATGCTGGGCAACACGGCCGCCATCCTCACGCCCCTGACCGACAGCAAGGCCATTTCCCGCCACCTGCCCAAGGAGGCCATCTCCGGTGAGCGGTGGGCGGGGAGGAGGCGGGACTCGGGGAGGGAGGATGTGGGGACCAGCGACCTCACAGGAGTCCTGCCTTCACCTTCTCCTCCCCCTGGGCAGTCGGGACCTGGCACGTGTCAATCACCCCATGCGTCTGGCTCTCCACCCCAGGGGGACGGGAAGTGGCCACCCCGACTTGGGGAAAAGGCCAAGCTCCCCAGCCTGGCACCCAGAGCTCCCAGGCCAGGAGAGACGCCGCTTTTGTCCTTGTTTAATTGAGGCATAACCGCTGCGGCGTGTACATTCCTTAAGCACAAACTCAGTGAACTTGGCGTATGTATCCGCCCAAGTAACCACCACCGACCCAAGTCAAGTCCCCTCTGGTCTCACTGCCACCGTTTTATGTTTGTTTCCCCCTTTGTTGGGCTCCGTGTACATGAAATCACACGTATGTGCTCTGTGTGCGGTCTACACCCAAACTCTAGGAGGCCCACCCACACGGTGACAATTAGCGATCGGCTGTCCCTCTCCTGCCCGTGTGATAAGCCATTGTAAGAGCAGACACCCATCTCTCTACCATTCTGCCCTCAGTGGACAGCAGGGTTTTAGGGAAGAACCTAACCTCCCAGTCACTCCGCCTCCCCTCTGCTCCACTCCAGCCCTGTGCACCCACCCCTTCCCTTGGTGACACCATCCACAACTGCTGGGGTCCAACCCCAGCAGGTCCAGGGGTCCCCAAAGGTGTGGACGGAGTTGGCGAAGAAGGAATGACACAGAGACAGCGTTCAGTTGATCAGCAGCCTAGCCAGGATCTCTAGCCGAGTTCTGGTCAGGATCTCCAGCGAAGTTCTGGTTCGGTTCTCCAGCCAGGTTCTGTAGCCATGTTCCCTTGCTAGGTTCTCCAGCCAGGTTCTGTCCAGGTTCTCCAGCCAGGTTCAGTCACCAGGTTCTAGTCAGGTTCTCTTGCCATGTTCTATCCAGGTTCTGTAGCCAGGTTCTCTCACTAGGTTCTGTCTCTAGGTTCTGTGGCCAGTTTCTGCCCAGGATCTTTTGCCATATTCTCTCCAGCGAAGTTCTTCTGTGTGTAGGTTCTGTGTCTAGGTTCTGTCTCCAGTTTCTGCCCAGGATCTTTTGCCATGTTCTCTCCAGCAAAGTTCTTCTGTCTCTAGGTTCTGTGTAGGTTCTGTGTAGGTTCTGTCTCCTGTTGTCTTGTTACATCTGTATTTATACCAGTTGATTCCAATCCTATCAATCTCTATTCCAAAGGTTAGGGCGTTTCTTATCTCCATTCCAGGGAGTAAAGATTATGTAGCTTAAGCATGATTGTTCGTAGTTAAAGTGATTAATTACCTGCCTGGCACTTAGTTAAGGGGTTTTATTCCCTCCCTAACTTCAGGGGAAAATCCCTACCTGGGGAAACAACCTTTCTCAGAGAGATGACCTTGGTTAAAACACATAGTGCCAAGAAGGTGAGCAAACATATTAAGAACAGTATGCCATATATGCCAGGTCCCTTGAAACAGCAAGGATGGACCGGCTCCCGGCACACAACGTCCCTTCTCCCAGCCCAGGTCTTTGAAGTACTGCCCACCCTTGGTCAGTGCCCTCCACATTGAGCAGCCGCCTCACACCTGCAGCTGCATCAGCGTGCTGTTAGCTGCTGGCCATACAAACCCCCTCTCCTGCGGGACCCCTCAGGCAGGGCTCGGTGACTGGTACGATGTCGGGTAGCAGAGGAAGGGCAGGAGGGAGCTTAGGCCAGTACTTGGTGGGGAGCCCAAGAGAGGCAGCCGAAGGAGACCCGGACAAGAACCCAGATTCTGGAGGCAGAGGGTCATTGGCTTCCCCATCTGTAAAAGGGGCTCCTTGATTCCTGCCTTGGAGGCTTAAGTGCTCAATGCGTGGCAAGTGCCTGGGCCGCGGTGGGAGCTGTGTAAACATTCGACTCTTCCCTTCTGCCCGCACCCCTCTGGTCAGACATGACTCCTCCCTAGGAAGTCCCCAGAGGGTCGCCCGCAGCTCACATCTCCAGCCCCAATTCACAGCCTGGGCCAGATCCCCTAGGGATGCTACAACCTTCTCTTTTCCATTGAGCTGGTGCCCCCTGCAGGACAGCTTTGTGAATTACCATTGATGCTGCCCGCTGACACTCCTTGGGACACCTTCCTCCACTCCCAAACACACACACACACACACACACACACACACACACACACACACTCAGAGAGACCAACCCACATGGATGAGCCCATCAGCCGAGTCCCCCGGGCGCCCACGGCCCTGCTGGGGCAGGTGTGGGTGCAGGCAGGTGAGCCGTGTCTTGGCCCAGGTCTGGTGTGCCTCCTCAACTGCGCTGTGGGCTTGGTGTTCACCTTGGAGGCCGGCAACTACTGGTTCGACATCTTCAACGACTACGCGGCCACCCTGTCCCTGCTGCTCATCGTGCTGGTGGAGACGATCGCCGTGTGCTACGTGTACGGGCTGAGGAGGTGAGACCCGCCCCACCAACTGCTGGGCAAGCTCACCCACGGGAACACCCCTCTCTCGGCGGGCATCGCGCGTTCTCCTTTAAGCTTGGCATCTTTCAGGGCTTTAATCTTCCCCCAGATCTCAGCTAATTCTCTGCCTCACTTCCCCCTCAGCTGGCCTTCAACCTTTATCTTGCCTATTTCCTGTGCTTTTACTTTTTATTAAAGGACTAGAGGCCCGATGCATGAAATTCGTGCAAGAGTAGGCCTTCCTTTCCCCAGCTGCCAGCACCGGCTTCCCTCTGGCACCTGGGACCCGGGCTTCCCTCCCAGCCCCGGCTTTGTCCCGAAGGGCGTCTGGTCTAATTAGCATATTATGCTTTTATTATTATAGATATTGGCCCCATTGACCCTGCTGAACCCCAACGGCTCCAGGAGCAGGCAATCCTGCCTCCAGGCACTGGCTGTTCTGACCCTTGGCCGACACCAGCATTTTTTTATACATATATTTTTATTGATTTCAGAGAGGAAGGGAGAGGAAGAGATAGAAGCATCAATGATGAGAGAGAATCATTGATCAGCTGCCTCCTGTATGCCCCCTACTGGGGATCGAGCATGCAACCCGGGCATGTGCCCTTGACTGGACTCAAACCCAGGACCTTTCAGTCCGCAGGCTGACGCTCTATCCACAGAGCCAAACCAGCTAAGGCTGAAACCAGCATTTTTCAAGCTTGCTGACCAAAGTCCAGTTGATAACCCAGACCTTAAAGTCTGGCAGATTCAGGATGTATGGTTCTCAACCCTGGCACAGCGCAGCCCTGATGCTGGGACGTGTGACCGGGCTGAGAGCCACGGGTCTAGAGCAGTTTTCAGACCTGGGCGTGCACTGGAGCCCCTGGGGACTGGTTCTCACATCCTCCCCTCCCCCTTCATCCCCAGGGTGCTGATTAGGTGGGTCCAGGTGGGGCTCTAGCTGCAGGTGAGTCTGGTCCCAGAGCGGCAGCATCAGGGAGCTTGTTAGAATGCAGGATCTCGCCCTAGCTGGTTTGGCTCAGTGGATAGAGCGTCAGCTTGTGGGCTGAAGGGTCCCAGGTTCGATTCAGGTCAAGGGCACATGCCTGGGTTGCGGGCTCGGTTAGGGGCATGCAGGAGGTGCCGATCAGCGACTCTCATCATTAAGGTTTCTCTCCCTCCCTCGCCCTTCCTCTCCGAAAGCAATACAAATATATATTTTTAAAAGAATGCAGGTCTCAGGCCCCCAAACCCCTGAGTCAAATCCACATTGTGGCACATCCAGGGGGTAGAGGCCCATTACGTTTGGGAACTGCTGCTCGAATGAGAGCCTGCTCAGAAGGGCTGTACCAAGTCTTCCCCACCCCAGTCTTTTATCATCTTCCAAACTGATCTGGAGGTGGGTCAGGGGACCAGCTGGGACCGTCTAGGAGCCAGGCCCCTGGTGCCGTGTCCCCCACTGTGCCCCTTGGAAGCCATTCTGAGGGATTTCCACGATCAAATAACTCCAGGACATAAATTAGAGCCAGATTTCTTTGCTGTAGGATTTCTCAGACCCTTGAAGATAATTGTGAATCTCAAAGAGGGGGTTGTAATTTGCAGTATTTCCAAACTTTTGTGGTCAAGGAATGCCTTTTTATCGGCCCATACTCCTCCCCCAGAGCTAGTAACACTGTGAGGACTTTAGTGTTAGACTCACCCCGTTTTCCCGAGAAAGAAGGGTTTCCTGGGACGTTGGGGCTTTTTCAGTGCTAAACCCAGGGAAGTCCTGGGTAAACTGGAACATATTGGTCATCTAGGAAATGCCCAGAGGAACAGAACCTAGAGCCCACTGGAGGCGCTGGAGAGGGGTACAAGTCCATCCAAAGCGGGTGTTGGTAAATGGCCAGATGGAGGGAGAAACCAAAGGTGCCCTGGGGATTTCGTAAGCAGCCAGATATGAGGATGACCAGCAGAGGGCAGTCTTTCTGCTTGGACGGGGGACGGCGCCATCTAGTGGCCACTTTGCAACAGTGCCATGCGGCCTTTCTGCAGCTCTTCCCACGTTTCTCTATACAGGAAAGTGGAGGGTTGGGGAGGTAAGGGAACAAGAGAACCCCACACTTTCTGCCTTGTATGGTCTTGAAAATCCCAGTGTTCACATTATGCACATGAGTCTTCGTGGCCTAGAGCCTAAGGTCTGGCTAGGTCAGCGGCCACACAGAGGCAGCTAGAAGCTCATGGGGGAACTTAAGACAGGCCAGGGGTGGAAGTGAGGCAGTGGCTGTGGTTGCACCTGGTGACAGTTTCACTCCACCCCAACCCCACCCCTCCTTCAAGGCTGCCTCTCCCGTCGTGCGGAGCGGTTTTAAAGCCCTTGGACTGGGTCAGCATTTCCCAAAGTGCCGAAGATCCTTTTCATACGTATTTGTGTGCATGTTAAAAATATACGATTATCCTATCAAACCCACAAAAGAATGGATGCTGTTATGCTATTGCTAAACTTAGGCAAAAGAGTCCATTTAAAGAAAAGGAAAGAAAGACAGTCTGCAGACATGATTGAACACAGTAGTGGTCTTCGGGCAACCACACCTGGGCAGCTCCAACCGCCGGGCCATCACCCTTGAGTCCCAAGTCTGGCTCTCCATCTGCCCCAGAAAACCTGCTGTGGTTTCAGGGGACAAAAGAGAGTCCCCTCTGGGGTGTTTGTAATGGGGAGTAGAGTCGCTGGCAGACCCCCAAGCCAGGAGTTGCCCTGGGGGTCCCCTGGCATTGAGACTGGTTGGACCCCTGTCCCAGGCTCTCTGATCCCACCATTGGTGGGAGCTGCCCTCTGGTCTATGCCAGCAGCCTCCATCTGAAGGTTGGCATCAGAAAGATGTCTCCTGACGTCCACTGATCTGGGGGTGATCGCTTTGCACCCCGCTCTGTCAGCCTCAGCCCTTCTCCCCATTCCATCCCCAGAAGGAATCAGGGAGGGAGGCCCCATGTTTGTGTTCATATCTCCGTGGACCCAGAACAGAATCTCCCCAAGCGAACAGGGATGGGCAAGCTGGGCTCCCCCTCGCTCCAACATCGTGGCTAATCCAGACTTTCCCGTTTTCCAAGCAGATTTGAAAGTGACCTTCAGGCCATGACTGGCCGCACTCTGAGCTGGTACTGGAAGATCATGTGGGCTGGCGTGAGCCCGCTGCTCATCATCAGCCTCCTGCTCTTCTACCTGAGCGACTACATCCTCACGGGGACCCTGCAGTACCAAGCGTGGGACGCCTCCCAGGTACCTGCCCTCCCGGGGCCCCAAGCTGCCTGGAGAGCACAGGCCTTAGTTTTCTGAAACCAAGGAGTTCCTGCCATGGCGTGGGCAGGTCGTTGGTCACAACAGGGCAACATCAAAGCTGTGGTTTCAGTGCTAAACGTACCTCAAAGCTCAGCACACAGCCTCACTGGCCCCACTTCAAGTGCTCAGCAACCCCTTGTGTCTGGTGTCGGACATGGCTCATTTCTATCAGCCCAGAAAGTTCTACTGGACTGTGCTGGGCTAAGGGCCAACCCCCACGTCCAGCTGCCCTGCCCGGCATCTCAAACATAATCACGTGCAGTTATTCTTTTTATTTTAAATATATATTTTTATTGATTTCAGAGAGGAAGGGAGAGGGAGAGAGAGATAGAAACATCAATGATCAGAGAGAATCATCGATTGGCTGCCTCCTGTACGCCCCACACCTGGGATCAACCCCGCGACCCACGGATGCTAACACTGAGTCACACCAGCCAATCGGTGATTAGCCTTTAGGCCCTAGAGGGGGTTACTCCTTAGCGGAAGCTCCAAACAATGGCTATGCAGGCCATGAAGTACAGGGAAGAGAAAGAGGACGAGGCGAGTTAGTCTGCCCAGCACCCTTGCTAGTGAGCCACCGGGGGAGCCGGAGGGCGGGGCGAGCGGGGAGGCGGGGCGAGCGGGGGGGCGGGGCGAGCGGGGCGGCGGGGCGAGCGGGGCGGCGGGGCGGCGGGGGGGGCGGGGCGGCGGGGCGAGCGGGGGCGGGGCGGCGGGGCGAGCGGGGCGGGGCGAGCGGGAGAGCGGGAGGGCGGGGCGAGCGGGAGGGCGGGGCGAGCGGGAGGGCGGGGTCCGAGGGCCTCGCGCGTGCTCGGGAAGGGTTCCACGTGGGCGGGTTCCACGTGGGCGGGTTCCACGTGGGCGGGTTCCACGTGGGCGGGTTCCACGTGGGCGGGTTCCACGTGGGCGGGTTCCACGTGGGCGGGTGCTCTGGGCTGAGCTCCGCTTCTCCCTTCAGGGCCAGCTGGTGACCAAGGACTACCCCGCGTACGCGCTGGCCGTCATCGGGCTGCTCGTGGCCTCCTCCACCATGTGCATCCCCCTGGTGGCCCTGGGGACTTACGTCTTGCGCCGCCTCGGGCGGGGAGACCCAGCGCCCGTGGCCTGAGGACCGGCTCCCGAGGCCGCCGCCCACTTTCACGCTATTAGTTCCAGGTGGAGCCTCCGCGGCCGCTTTGCAAGTATTTACGCCGGAAGCCCTGAGCGCGTCGTCTTCCGGCGGCGCCTAGAAAGACCTAGAAGGTGTGGAGGAGGAAGGCCCCTCGGGCACCGAGCGCCCCTCTGCCCTCTGCCCCGAGGGAGGCCGCGGCTGTCTCCCTGTCGCCACAGGGGCAGGTGTTCAGGGCCAGGCGCGAGGCCAGCGGCCTCCTTGATTCTAGGAAAGGCCTAGAATTAGCGCACACTGTGAGCTGACTTTTGACTACCATTTTTATGGAATAAAATTTAAGCCATTTTTTTTTTCTAACGAGATTCCAAAATATTAGAGGGGCCATCGTTTGAGAGCGGGCTCTTTTAAGTGGCGGCGAGGGCCCGTGCAGCCCGAGTCCTCTCTGCAGAGCGAGGATGCGTCCCGCTGCTCCTTCGCCCGCAGGGTGAGTGGCCGGAGGGAAGGCCTTTGCGACCCGGAGGGGGGGGGGGGGCGCTGTCCTCTCTGTGGAGTCGCTCACAGTAGGTCCAGCCCTGCCCCCCCACAGAAACTGCCCCAGTTGGCCGCCTTCGGGGGTTATGTGCGGGGTCCGCGGAGCCCCGGCCAGGGAGGGAGTGCCAGCTTTCCCATCGACTTCCTGCTACATCGGGGCCCGGCGGGCGCCTCTCTGTAGGAAAGGCCAGGAGCAGTACTGACGGTCCATTTAAATTATTTATCTGTACATACGTTTTCTAAAGTGTACATACTCCAGCAGAGCGTCTTGTAACCGGAACCACTGTATTTATGATAGAGCTTTCGTCCACCACCGGCCTGGTCTCCTGTCGTGTTTTCACTGCGGGAGGGGGTTCCTCGAGGGTGCGGTCCCTTCCTGCCCTCGGGCCTGTGCGTCCCTAAGTCCTGGGGTTCAGGGTGGTCCCCGGGTCGGTTTGTGCAGACGCCTTTAAGACTTAAGCACTCGCTTGGGACCTCAGGTGGAGATGTTTGGTTTTTTTAAATATATTTTATTGATTCTTTACAGAGAGGAAGGGAGAGGGATAGAGAGTTAGAAACATCGATCAGCTGCCTCCTGCGCACCCCCCACTGGGGATGTGCTCGCAACCCAGGCACATGCCCTGGACCAGAATCGAACCTGGGACCCCTGAGTCCGCAGGCCGAGGCTCTATCCACTGAGCCACACCAAACGGGTTAGGGCTGTTTGTTTCTTAATTCGTTTCATGCCGCTCGCTCTCCTGGGGCCTTAGGACGGCTTCCTCTGTCTTGAGCTGCCCGCTTATCGGCACTTCCGGCCTCACCCGATGGCCGGTTATAAAAAGACCCCTTGCCTTTAAAATGGAGGCACCAGCGTTTATTTACCCCGCGTAGTCAGCCCGCTGATTTCTCATCAGGGGTTTTTAGTGTTGAGAAACCTCGGATATCAGGTGTGAAGAGTGAGCGCACCCGATGATGGCGAATACACAGCGCAGGTCTGTCCTCAGCCCCGCCCCGCCCCGCCCGCAGCCCCCAGGCCTGTCTTACAGGGAATACAGGCCGCCTTCCGGGGTCAGGCACCACCAGGGGGTTTCGGCCCCACATCGGCCCCCAGGGGCGTGGAGACCTAGACCATCACTTCATTCACAGTAACTATTTCAGTGCTCTCCACCTGGCTGCCTATCCGAACCACCTGGGAGCATTTAAAACCCCGATGCCCAGGCCACGTCCCGGAACCAGCCAAACCTGAGAACCAGCATTCATTTAAGAAAGGAGGAGCCCTAGCCGGTATGGCTCAGTGGATAGAGCGTCAGCCTGGGAACTGAAAGGTCCCAGGTTCGATTCCGGTCAAGGGCACGTGCCCGGGTTGTGGGCTCGATCCCCAGTGGGGGACTTGCAGGAGGCAGCCGGTCAATGATTCTCTCTCATCATGGATGTTTCTATCTCACTCTTCCTTTTTGAAATCAATTAGAAAAATATATTAAAAGAAAGACAGAAAATGGTCCTGGCACCTGCGTAGGTTGTGGTCGGCGCCAAAAAAAAAAAATGTGTGCGTGCGTGTGTGTGTGTGTGTGTATATATATATATACATATATATATACATACACACACACACCAGGAGGTCGCCAATTTGATTCCCAGTCAGGGTATATTGCCCAAGTTGTGGGCTCCATCACCACGTGCAAGAGATAGCCCCACTGATGTTTCTCTCTTTCTCTGAAATCAATTAAAAAAAAAAAAAAAAGGAAACTGTATCCTACATTTAGGAATATTTACATCAAAATGACCTTTAAAAGTTTGAAAGTATTTTTGAGCATTTCCAATTGTATGGAAATGTCACTTCCACGGAATAATTTTGCTCAAGGAAGTCAAATCAATGAACTCCCATTGTTTATAGAATAATGGGCTCCCAGCAAAGCTGTCTTGAGTTTCAGTTCACTTTTTTACTTTGGTTTCTGCAAACTTCATGAAGAGCAGACTCTCTCTCATTAATTCTCTTGAGCCAATAATAAGATTCTCTCAAAAAGCTCTTTGTTGACTGTTTTCTAGGTACTTTACAAAAGCGGTCATTTTGACAATTGTTCGCCCCCTCTGCAATAAGCTGGAGAGAAAGAGGGACATTCCGTTCCTGTATACTTCATGGTAACCATGGTGATATGGCCAGATCACCAATGCCGCAAAGCTTTCTATTTATACTAGAAACATAAGAACCCTGTCTTAGTTCTTAAAAAACACACACACAAAAAAAACTTTATTGTTGAGAGTATCATAGATGTCCCTCTCCCCCCTCTGCCCCTCCATTGCTCCCCTCGCCCAGTTCCCTCCCCACCCCAGGCCTTCACCACCCTATTGTCTGTGTCCATAGGTAATGCATATATGACCTTTGGTTAATCTCTTCCCACCCCCCCACCCCTTCCCTGTGAGATTCGTCAGTCTGTTCCATGTTTCCATGCCTTTGATTTTATTTTATTCATCAGTTTATTGTGTTCATTAGATTTCTTGTTCATTTATTTTTAGATTCAGTTGTTGATAGATATGTATTTATTGCCATTTTACTGTTCTCTTCCTCTTTCTCTTAAAGAATACCCTTCAACATTTCATGTTTTGAACTGTGTATCCAGTAGTTGGCTTGCATTTCTTTCGTTTGTGACCTGTTTGTCGCCGCATTTTGGCTGCTTCCCTGTGTCTGTTTCTGTGTATTAAATAGAGCAGCCACGTCTCCTGGAATTGGTCGAGTGGCCTTGTATAGCAGGTGTCCTGCAGGGCCCACTGGCTCAGCCTCCCCAGTCGCCTGAGCTGGGCCCTCTAGGTGCGCCCCTGTGTGGGCTGTGTGCACAGTCTTCTAGTTGAGCCTTGATTGCTGCGGGTGTCACTGGGAGGAGTTGACATCCAGGCCAGTTGGCTGTGAGGACCAGCTGCGACTACAGTGGGAGAGCTGCTGTGCAGGAGACACCCCTATGGAGCAGGACTTGCTTCGGTGGGGCTTCGGTGCTCACTGAGTCTGCCTTTGAGTGTGTCACTGTGGATGTGTAGAGTTGTAATCTGGTGTGGTCTCAAGCTGTCCACCGGGTGTACTGCCTCTGGGGCCTCATGGGAGGCGCAGTCCGCCACTGCCTGGGTGGCGGCAGGAACCACAGAGATATTAAACATGCCTTCTATTTGTATTGAGTTTGGAAGCGCCCAGGCGAGGCCCAGCTGTGAAGCAAAACAGGCGGTGCTAGTACCAGGTTTTGGGCTGCTTATTGATAGGTTTGAGGCTGCTGCTGCTTATTGAGAGATTTTAGAAAAGTCTGAAGCCTGAGCCAGGACAGGCCGTTCATATGGAAAAGCTGCTGCAAACAGCTTGGGTGGGGCTGCAAATTGGATGGGGCAGAGTGAACAGTGTTGGCTATGCTGATGGAAACAGATATGGCTGCCAGTCAACCCTGTGCCGGAGGAGGTCCCAGCACAGGAAAAATGACCCCTGTGAGCACCCCCATTTGGGAGAAAGCCACCCCCCCAAATTCCTGCCCTGATGCCAGACAATCCAGGTCCTCCCTGTGTGTCCCTGGGTCCCTGGCGCTGGAGCTCAGAGGAAGCGGCACCATGTAAGTCCATGGCTGGCCCTTTAACAGGAACACCTGGGAACTCCAGCAGCCTGTGTCACTGAGCCACAATCCCTTCCGGAGCTACGGGGGCTATTCTCAGCTCTGGAACCCTGTGCTGGGGGTCTGGTGTGGGACTGGGACCCCCTGCTTCTCAGGGAAGGCCTCTGCAGCTGAGATATCCCTCCCGGTTACAAAACACAGCGCACGTGGGTTTTGGAGCCTGTCTTGTGCCTCCGCCATTCCTGTAAGTCTTGATACACTTTCTTCTCTAGTTGTAGGACTTCCATTCAGCCAGATTTCAGGTGGTTCTGAATGGCAGTTGTTCTGTTTTAGTTGTAATTTTGATGTGGTTGTGGGAGATGGCGAGTACTGGCATTTACCTACGCCATCATCTTGGTTCCCCCAAGGAATCAGGTGGGAAGTATTTGGTTTTTAGCATTTGTCATCATAAAGCCCTAAACAAGTACTGGTATGTCTATAGGTCTTTTGTCATTTACTGGCTGAGGTTTTAAAGACTCCCCTTACTGGTTGTGGTAGCAGACATCTAAGATGGTGCCCAGAGACCCCCACCTGCTGGCATTCATGCCCCCTGGACCCCTCCCCCCTTGGGTGAGCTGGATCGAGCACCGTGCAGAGAAGGTGGTGAGAATGATGGACATCTCTGAGATGAGGTTATAAAAGACTGTGACTTCCATCTTGCTGGCTTGGGTGAACCAAGCTGCCACGTTGGAGAGGCCTTCGTGGCAAGAAACCTAGTATTTTAAGTGTTTATCATAATTTATTTGTATTGAGAGAACTCAATTTCTTCTGGCATCAGGGCTGTTAGGCAAGCGGGAAGAAACTCCAAACCCTCACCTGTTTAAGCCACTCCCCCAGCCCCCTCCCTGCCATACACACCCTTCATTTCTCCTTCTCTGACCCCCACACAAAAAGTAAGTCCTGTGCCATCAGGACTGATGAATCTGCATCAAGTGACACTGGGGATTATGCCCCCACGACTCCCACCCTGTCACTAAACCCTGAATGGGACAAAGCTTTCATGTTGGAGCTAGAAGGAAAGAGAGCACAAATAGAGGACCTAGATAATACACTAAATCTCTCATAAAATGCCCTGGAAAGGCACAGATCACCAGGCAGGGAAGGGAAGGACATGGGAGGGCATGGTGGCAGAGAATTCCTGAAGCCCCTCTGCAGGAAGACAGCAAAGGAAGCAGGGACAGCCACTGCAGAGCCACACAGGGAGGGGCAGGACGCGTCCATGGCAGTTTCACATGGTTCACGGGGGCTGTATATCCCAGAGGCCATTGCCCAGGAACCATCTCACTCCCTTGTGCGTTCGAGGGCCTCCTTGGCACCAAGGTGTTCAGTCAGCATCCCCTGACTCTCACTGACCCTGTGGCCTGAGAGAACATTTTCTAAAAAGCAATACAGTGGGGCCTTGACTTATTAGTGTCCCGACTAACGAGTTTTTTGAGATACCAGCTGTCTCGGCCGATATTTTGCATTGAGTTGATAGAGTAATTTGAGTTAACGAGCTCAGTCTCGGAACAAATTAAACTCATAAGTCAAGGCCCCACTGTATCCCACTTCTCAATTGGGACCTGTATTATTTTTTAAAGTAAACTGCAATCTGGAGTGGGGACAGAGGACTTCTTTGTATGGACATTATACTTCACTAAATATTCCCCCGGTTTTATCTGTAACTAGGAAATAATTAGAAGGATGAACACAGTTTAAGTGATCATAACTA